TGCATGCGAAGCAGCGCCCTTTGAAGGGAGCCTGCGGACGTTGCTTGTAGCACCGACCAGTGGCATCGCCAACGGCCGACGTGATGTCAAGCTCGTCGACGGGGGTGCGAAGCCGCCGACGACAGGGGAGCAGCGGGCGGAAGAGATGCCTCCGACAGGGGAGCCGTTGACGAAGGAAGCGGTTGCAGAGGATCCGCTGACAGGGGAGCAGCTCGACGATGGTTCGTCGAGCGACGTTGTGGAGGTCATTGGTGAACCCGATGACGGTAAAGGGAAGCTGTCTGCAAGGGAGCAGTCCACTAATAGTGATGTGGTGGAAGTCAAAGCAGACGAGCCTCCGCAGCGACGTTCCACTCGTGTCAACTTTGGCAAGCCTCGCGAGAAGCCGAGCTACCATGCTTGCCTGCCGCCGACCTCCTACGGCACGTTGCTCGACGATGCGCAGGACGACGTCGACCCGCCCGAGCTCGATCCCGACGTGCACGCCGACCCAGAACATCGCTGGGACATCGTGACGATGACAGTGAAGGAGGCGCTGGCGAGTTGGAAAGGCAAGGCGGTGAAGGCCACCATGGACGAGGAGATTCGCAGCCTCGTCGCCAACGGCACATGGGAGCTGGTCGAACGTCCGCGCGGGGTGAACATCAGAAGAACCGGAGGCGTTTCATCGACGAGGAGCAGACTGGACGGATCCCGAATACGCCGGTCTCCGTCGACGCCTACACGGAGCTGACATTCGATGACGAGGATGCTCAAGGTCGCGAAGAGGAGGAATATCGGCAGAAGGTCGGCTCGCTGCGGTTTGCGGCGACGACGACGAGGCCGGACATCGCCTTCGCGTGCAGCAAGCTGGGAAGGGGCCTGACGGTGCGGAGCAACAACCACTGGCGCGAGGTCGATCGCTGCCTGCACTACTTCGCCGACACCCGTGACACCGCCCTGGAGTTTGGCGGTGGACCAGAGACGCTGAGCCTGGTCGGCTACGTGGACGCCGACGATGCTGGCGACAAGCAGAACCGGACGAGCACGGGCGGCTACGTGTTCGTCTTCGGAGGGGCGAAGGAAGTTTGGCCAAAGATGATAAATCAATATTGAGCAAGGGTACAAATAGGAAAGAACATGCAAGGAAAGAAGATGCACCACCTACAAAACATAATAACTACACTACAACTACAAGCAGTTATAAAAGATATGAAATATATTTCGACACGCCCCCATAATTGCTTGTAGGAAGAAGTGTAGTTACGCCCCCTGAAGGGGTACACCATGCAGAGTGCGCAGCGGAAGAAGGAGAGAAGTACCGAGGAGGAGGTGAATGAGGGATGAGGAGAGGAGGTGGGGGGAGCCACGCGGCGAGCCCCTCTTACGAACCCCCGTTTTACCAAGGGGGGGGGGGGGTGAGAGGGGGATGAGGAGAGGAGGTGGGGGGAGCCACGCGGCGAGCCCCTCTTACGAACCCCCATTTTACAAAGGGGCGGTGAGAGGGGGATGAGGAGAGGAGGTGGGGGGAGCCACGCGGCGAACCCCTCTTACGAACCCCCAAGTCCACACCCCCTTTCAGCCACACCCCTAAACCACACCCCCTTTCAGCCACCCCCTTAAACCTCACCCCTTTGTTCAGCCGCGACCCGGAACCGCACCCTTCCGCCACCCCCTCACCCTCCCCCCACAGCGGCACGTGCGGCAGTGAGAGAGAGAGGAGGAGGGGCGGCAGCAGGTTGCTCACACCCGCCACCCCCAAACCCCCACCCCCCCCACTGCTGCACGCGCAACAGGGAGAGGGAGGGGAAGGCGAGCGTCGGAATAGCGGTGTGACGCAGCAGCGCGCGGACCTGCGTCAACCACCCACGCCCCCCCCTTCCCTTTTCCCCTCGCCACCTCCTCCCACAGCAGACGCCGCGGCGACGGGAACCAGGGCACCGAGCGCAACAGGACGCGGGGCGCCGCGGCGGCAGAAAGCAGGGCACCGCGGCGACGGGAAGCAGGGCGCCCGCGACGACGGGAAGCAGGGCGCCCGCGGCGACGAGAAGCAGGGCGCCCGCGGCTGTGGGAAGCGTGGCGGGGAGCAGGGCAGCAGGACGACGGGAAGCGGGGCGCCGTACGGGGCTCGCCTTCGCGGTCGTCGAGGCCGTCAGGCTGAGCGCCTTGACGAGCGCCTCGACGGGCGCGACGGGTGCGGCGACGTGAAACGCGTTGGGGAGCGCCATGGCTAGTGGTGGGCCCATGAAAAAGTAGGTCAAGGAGCTTAGTTGCTCTGAAACCATAGCTAAGGTAGGGGCGAGAGTAACGAGGGTAGGAGCGAAGGAAGTTTGGCCAAAGATGATGATTCAATATTGAGCAAGGGTACAAATAGGAAAGAACATGCAAGGAAAGAAGATGCACCACCTACAAAACATAATAACTACACTACAACTACAAGCAGTTATAAAAGATATGAAATATATTTCGACACCGCTGTCTCCTGGTCAAGCCAGCGCATCAAGTGCGCGACGCTTTGATCGACTGGGTCTGAGTACGTCGCGGCTATGGAAGCAGGCAAGGAGGGACGCCGACTTCGCTTCCTCCTTGCAGAGTTCCAGCAGCTCGACGCAGGGACGCCGACGGTCCTTCGTGTGGACAACCAGTCGGCCATCACTGTCGCGGAAGGCTTGGGGCTGAAGGGCAACCTCAAGCACATGGAGCGACGTTACGCCTGGCTGCAGCAGATGGTGAAGTGTGGGAAGTTCGTTCTGCAGTACATCCCGACCACTGAGCAGCCGGCCGACTTCATGACGAAGGCGCTGCACTTTCCGTCATTCAACCGGTGCTCCGTCGCGATCGGCCACGTTCGTCTGGCTGACGTCGGCGACGGTGACAACGATGTGCAGCAGTAGGTGCTGTGCCCTTCTACACGGCTGGTGCGGTGACCGGCGTGTTGTGTATTGTGTGCACGCCGACGAATTTTCCCCGTGTATTCTATCCCTTGGGTTCTGGGTGGACCTTGTGCGTAGGGTGCCCAAGCGTGAGCGTGGCAGGGGAGTGTTGAAGGAAGTTGGCCCCGCCCTCGCCTGGGAAAAACTGACTTGGTGGTCGGGTGTGTGGGAGATGCAGCCGACCTTCTGCAGTATGCGAGATTTGGAGCTTCAGCGCAGGTTGGGTGAAGGGTTGCCTGTACACGAGGTATATTAAAAAACTCATGCAAGAGTAACTGAAGCATCCGCGAGTGCAACGCAAGTGCCTTGTGCACATGTGCAATTGGAGCAGCTGGTGCAGAGGTTCGCGGGTGTTCATCGGCGCAGGGTCGCGTCTGACCCTGCGCACCCTCGAGAATGCACATGCGAATTTTGGCCAGAAATTCGAATGTGCCCTAATTTCGACCAATGAGGAGCTGACATTTTGGAATGTCGACCGAGGTGGTCGATGAAGGTCGTCGACCCGCAACGACGAAGGTCGTCGACCTACGATGACGAATGTCATCAACCTGCAGGGTTACCCGGTCGACGAGGTTCTGCGGAGGTGCGCGAACGTCGTCGAGGTTGCTGTGGCGAAGTCGACCGACATGGCAGCACGTGGTCGACGTGGCTAGTCAGGTGCAACCGTCTGCATGTGGCCGACCTGGCACCTGCGCAATGTGCTCGATAGTGCACGTCGTGCGTAACTGTCTACAAGCACCTGCGAAGTAGGTGCTTGCACATACGCTTACAATCAACTGCGGATGCAATCTTGGCAAGCCGCGCGGGTGCAGCGTTGGCAAGCCGCGCGGGTTCACCGTTGGCAGACCGCCATTATGCAGCGTTGGCAAGTCGTACACGAGCTGCGTTGGCGGGCCGCAAACTTGCTACGTTGGTAGGTCAACAACTTTGTCGTGCTGGCGGTCGACCTGCCTGTGCACTAGCAAACCTTGCATGTGATGTAGTCAATCTTTTCTAAACAGAAACTAGATTGCTACGCACAGCAACTAGGCCAAAGGTGCGAATGTTCTGGTTTCATTCAACAATGGGAACCATTCTGCCATCTCCCAAATTTTTCTAGACCTTTGAGGCCAAAAACGCTGCCAACTAAGGAATTAGAGACATAGGGGCGATGGTTGCACTAATTATAGATGCTGTTTACACTCATGTGTTCATTCCCAGGTGGTTGCATGTAGGCTTTGGAGTGAACGTGAATGCAAGAGTAATTGCAGAGCACTCTCTAATTAGTTGCAATGTTGAATGGTGTAATGCAGGGAGATTTTTGGGTGAGCGGTATGTAGGTAAATGTCTGGTGAAAGTGAAGCTAACATGGTGATAAATCTAAAGTATATTCGATGCACTTGTCTCAGGAGGTGTACATAGATATACAGAACAATGAACTGGTGGTATGAAGGGGAACGAAGGTCAGCCATTGTAACCAGGTCATAAAGTCCCTCCCCAAACGTGTTGAGTAGAGAGTTCGCGAGATGAAACCAGTATATTTTGCGATCAATCGAGAACGTTGGCGAATTTCAGGTCAAGCACTTCGCACGGAGACTTCCATAATTCAGTCCTCCGCGTCGCAGGTCCTGCGATTGGTGGCCGAGTAATGAATTTTTGGGTCAATTCGGGAGAACTTCCTAGTCAACGCTATTTTTGCTCATATTTTCTGTCGTAACTAGATTTCCTTTCATCAGCGAATCACTACATCCACATTTACATTAAAGCTACTCACACACCGAATGTTTGCTGGGTCTGCATGTTCCCGTGAGAAGTTGCGATAACAATGAAAACTTTTGCCATGTTTTGTTTTCCTTGACAAAACGATTCTCTGGAATCAGAAAATTTCGTGAATGTATCGTTCCGATGAGATCGAGCCAAAAAATGCACGTTTTTCTGCTGTTTCGGTTTTTTTTTTTCTTTCTTTCTGATGTTTTACTGAGGAGGACTCAAACTGCGACCCTGTGAAGAAACCGGTTTCTGACTTTATCAACATACCCATCTGTCAAGGATTTGTTGCCTAAACAACCACATAAAAAACTCTTGACACTCGGCTTGCTATTTAAAAGAATGGGAAAGTACGGGCGGGCGACCAGCTCGAGAAAGAAAGCACAACGTATTTCGCAAAACAAATCACATATGTACGTTCAGTAACCAATATCTCACGAATTATTGGGCCTCCCATAATTCACGAAGCGCGATTGAGCTCGATTTGAGCTGAATGGAAGCAAACATGCGGTGGTCAGGGACTACCACCACCCCTGAAACTCGTTACTCTGCACCATAAATTTCGAAGTTCTGACTCAGACTCTATCAGCCAGCAAACCCTTTCTGCTTTTGAACAAACCGACCTCGCTTTTAAATCATCCCGAGCTAGTACCCATCGAAGCTTGTCAAAATGTTGCTGGGATTTCTCCTCGTTCTTGTCTTCTCTTGCGGACCGCTGGTCAGCGAAGGATTTCAGGCGCGTAGACTCTTAAGCGACCTGAACGATCGACGTAAGACGAGTTCATAACGAAGGCGAATAATGCAGCCTGAAAAAATGAGTGACTTTTCTTTTCTCGCCGACGCATCATAGCGTCCTAATCATTGCCTCTTCCTGTGCTCACGTAGCTTGGCACTTCGAATTTTCATTTTTTTTTCAGCTGAGCCTCTCCCAAATCTCTCCCCAATCTTTCCTTACAGGTGGAATCGTAGTACAGCAATCTTCGATCGGGCAGACAATTTCCGTGACTGGCTACTCTGGCGACTCGAACATCCCCCCGCTCGTCTCAGATGCCCCACTTGAGCGTAAACTGCAGCAGCAGAGGGTGCCGAAACAGAAGCCGGTGCCGCAGAAGCCGGTGACGCTGCCACAGCAGAAGCCGGTGCCGACACGGCGGCCGGTCCCGGCCGTGGTGAAGCCTGCCGCGCAGGTGCAGCAGCCGGCGGCGGTGCAGCAGCCTGCAGTGGTGCAGCAGCCGGCGGAGGGGCAGCAGCAGGGGACGGAGGGGCAGCAGTCTGCGACGGAGAAGTCGGAAGCGCAGAAAATAGCCGACGATCAGGCGGCCCTCGAAGCGTGGATCCAGGCGGACAAGAAGGCGCTGGATGAGCAGTATGCTCAGGATAGGTATAATCAGTACCAGCAGGATATGGAGGCGGAGCTGGAAAGGCAGGATCGTTTGCACGGCAGGATTCCGTAGCATGTTCAGAGAGGTGTATGATGTAGGATGGCTTTGTTTGCCTTTGAGACGCCTCAAGAGCAGCAGGATATGGCGGCGGAGCTGGAGAGGCAGGATCGGTTGCGCGGTGTGTGATTCCGTAGAAGAGGCTGGAGTGAAGGTTCAGAGAGGTGCATGAGGGGTAGAGTGGCTTTGTTTGTTTGTACGATGCAGTTTGCTTGTTTGTATGATTCGCTTTCTTGGGTTGCAAGTGCCACTTGACGTGGTGAAAATAAATAATTTCTGGCGCCAGGAAAGATGCTATCCATTCTAACCGTGACGGACTACCAAACGTGCACAAACGACTCTACCAGGCTTAGCATAGGTTTCCTTTCCCAGTTTGTTAGAGACTCGGACGTTTATTTTCTAAGTGAACACAATGGACTGCTTAGTATGAGGAGGGACCCCACTTGACGTGAGTGCACTATGGGGAAACAAAGAGGCTTAGGCACTACTGGGTGTGCTGAAGAGCACCAGAATGGTTTTGAGTTAGGCAGTGGATGTAAAAGAGTTTTTGTTGTTCATTTATGTAACACAATACAGTGACGACTGGAAGAGTCGTTATGATTGCGGCGGGGTATACCAGGGTACAACGTCCGTTTTTATCGCGTCGAAAATCCGCCTGAATGCTACTCAAGTCGGGCGACAGCGACTTAGACTTCGAGACGACACCGGTTTGAATTTCGCGAGAAATCGTTTTTCGACAAAAGTTGTCGTTATCCAATCAGCTCGCGGCGTGCGTTGCATTATTAATTTCGCCGCGTACCGAGTGCTGTGATTGGCTTACGGGAACTGCTCAATGGAAGAAGAATTTGATTGGATGATTGCCCTCCAAAATTTGCATTACGGGACCCCATATAATTCAGTGCAATAAGACGGGATGGGCTGGTCTCATCAGCTCACAACCACACTTCCAGCGTTTCCCCTCAGCTCTGGCATAAAAAAGAGACTTCTCACAGTTCCTCTTCACCATTTACTTCTACAAGCCACAACTCTAGAACCACACAGTGCGCAATTTGACCCTTTCTACTACTCCACCTGTTGATTTAGCCTCGTGCTAGTGAGATTTCGTCAGTATGCTGCTCGGGTTTCTCCTGGTGCTGGTCTTGTCTTGCGGACCGCGTGACAGCGAAGGAGCGAGTCGGGGGCGGCTTCTAACTGATGGCGAGCACGGTCAAAGTAAGTCACGATCATTTCTCCCCGCCGTCCTTCACCACGTTCAGCCCCGACGAACGTGTTAACCTTGCCTCTTCCGTGCCTCACGACTATTACGTTCCATTCCGCGTCCCCCGAGATTTAACTTGTATATAAATTTTACCCCAATTCTCTTCCCGATCCCCTTGGGCGGCCGGAGTCGCACTCCAGTCGTCGTTCGAGCAGGCTCTCTCCGCTCCTGGCGACTCGGGCGACGCGCAATTCCCCTTGCTCTTTGAAGACGCTACCCTTCCGCGCAAACTGCAGCAGCAGGGGCAGCAGATTCCGACGCTGAGGCAGATCGGCAGACAGATGCTGACAACCCTGAAGCAGCAGCAGCAGCGGAAGAAGCCGAGGCCGAAGACGCAGCAGATCGCCTCCGATACAAGGTAGATGGCTGTTGTTGTTTTATTAGTAATCCCTATCAATGTTATTTCTCTCCATGCATATGTTTTTTTGAGACGTTTTTTCAATCATGCCATGTTTCTTGAAATGCTGCTCGTTCCCCTCCGCCGCCGTCTCGTCATCCCGCCAGCAAGAATTTCTGGCCTGGGGTGACGGGAGAGTCAGCACGCAAGCAGATGCTGGCCTCTGTGCCCCCACACTGTAGCTTTGCCGTCGTTTCGAGTGGGGCTGTGATGACCACAGTGTATCATATATGCATTTTTTTGGTGTAACGCTGTTTGATTCCTTCCGTTCGCAGCAAAACCTCCTGGCCCGAGGTGGTGGGGATGAAGGGAGAGAAGGCTCTCAAGCATATCAAAGCCGCTGTGCCGCCTTCGTGGACCGTTTCCGTCATTCCGAGTGGGTTTATGATGACCACGGACTTTCGAGAGAATCGCGTTCTCATCTACGTAGACAATGCTGGGATCGTCCAGAGAGCTCCCACGGTTGGTTAGAATTTCTGAATGAAACGGATTAGTGGTATACAATGCGGGTGGTCACATGGTGTTTAGGCTGTAGCCAAACTGTAACATAGAGCAGGGTTGTGAGACATCTGGGGACAAATGCACGTTTTCCTAAGCTGTTTGTGACACTCCTTGTAATAGCATCTTGTACTATGTAATACTACCCGCAGTTTCTTTGCATGAGGCTATCCGGAGCTGCATCAGCACTCAAAGCGCCATGTCATCACTTATGCGGACAACTCGATGAGGCCCTGTAGGTGATTAGCTCTCTCGCCAGGTGGCGATACTAAATGGAAGGTTTGGGAGACTATGTGGGACGGGGCCGGAGGGGGGAGGAGGGGGGGGGGGGAGGGTGGAGGGGGAGACGGTAGGTCTGGGAAAGGGTTGCGGGAGGCAAGTTATGCTTCCGGTGTGCCAGGCCTCCATTTCAGTGTGCAACTTCTCCATTGAGTGCTTTCTCAGTGTCAAAACGCTGACTTTTGGGGGCCTGGGTGCTTATGGTAGCATCAACATATTTCAGCCCAAAGCGAGTGTCCGTGAAAAGCATCTGGTGAAATTTTTGTACCACCCTAATCTTCGGATGAATTTGACAACATTACTCACGGGTGGTAGACTGTAAAGCATGTTCTATTGTAGCTTTGTTTTCTTTTATGCAACTCAGTACAGTGATCACAGAAATGATAGGTGCTTGCTTGGGTAAGCGGGGTACTGGTAAGGGATGGGAGTGAAGAGAGCCAAGTTACCACCTCTTGCTCCGAAACGCGAGAAAGTTTCGTCAAAGTGTTTACCAGGTCCGGCGAATTTTGTACGGCCACGAGATGGCGCGTGTTTGGTTTTCGCGAATATTCGACTCGTCGGCGAATTCATTCTCGCCAGTCAAACAGCTGTCATCGTTCCTCGCATTATTCCGTTCGCCGCGTTGTGCGTGGTCTGATTGGCGCTCGAGCATTGCATAATTGGAATGAGAGAGGGGATTGGAGGATTTCCCTCACAAATTTTGCATTATTGCGCCTCGATGGCTTATGGGAATGGGTGAGGTAGTGAAGGTGGACGCACATCAGCTCTCAACCGCACGACTTCATTCCTGGTAGGACCTGGGCTGTCACATAAAATGAGCCTTTCCGCAGTTCCTCTTCAGCAGTAACTCTAGAACCACACAGTGCACTTATCGCCTTTGTATATTACTCGAGCAGTTGAAATCAACCCCGATCCAAAAGCGTTCGTCAGTATGCTGCTCGGATTTCTCCTCGTGTTGATTTTGTCTTGCGAACCGCGGGACAGCGAAGGAGCGGCAAGTCGGCGACTTCTAACCGATCATGACGACCACGATCGACGTACTAAGGAAACGTTTGTTTCATGCCACCAGTGTGTGATCTGGTGAAGTTGGGGGAAAATGTGCTTCATTTGTGCATGAGCCCGGTACTGACCATCATCACGTAGCAACGTAGTTGAACTAATCTGGTCGCTTTCCCATGACCCACGATTAGTCGATTTTTGAGTCGACTCATCATACGCGGGTTCCCTTGACCCACGACGCTCACCCGCCCCGGGGCCTCCGAGATCTGGTTCCTATCTCGAGTTTCTCCAAAACATTCTCCCCAATCCCCTCGAACAGCCGGATACGTTCACCAATTTTCGCCAGGCCATTCAGGCGACGCGCAAATTCCCATCATGCTCGTCGGAGATGCTCCAGTGCCGCGCAAACTGCAGCAGCAGCCCGAGGGGCAGCAGATTCAGACGCTGATTCAGATCAGCAGACAGATGCTGACGACCCTGAAGCAGCAGCAACAGCGGAAGAAGAAGCAGGGGAAGAAGAAGAAGCAGAAGCAGCCTAGCCCTGTCATGCCCCCTGAAGAGATCGAGCAGCCTTCTACAAGGTGTGCACTCTCTCTCTCTCTCTCTCTCTCTCTCTCTCTCTCTCTCTCTCTCTCTCTCTCTCTCTCTCTCTCTCTCTCTCTCTCTCTCTCTCTCTCTCTCTCTCTCTCTCTCTCTCTCTCTCTCCTCAATTTGCCTCGATCCATCCTTCTATCTCTGCCTTTGTTTTTCTCTCCATGCATGACAGTCTGTAAATTGCCGCTTTCTCCTTATTTTCTTGCCACTTGTTCACTCCCTTGCTTCGCAGCAAATTTGCCTGGCCCGAGATGGTGGGGTTGACGGGAGAGGAGGCACTCAAGAAGATCCAGGCCGAAGTGCCGCCTTCGTGGAGTGTTTGGATCATAGCGCCTGGGGATACCATTATCGCGGATCATAGGGGAAATCGCATTAAGATTTTTGTGGATGAAGCTGGGATTGTTCGGGACACTCCCAGTGTTGGGTAGAAGCAGCCGTACCAAGCGAGTGCGTAGCAGGAAATTGTTGGCCTGCAGCGAAACCAGGCAAGGCTTGACCGGGAAATGTAGAAGCGGTAGACGTGGGAGCAGCAAAGCACAGAAAAGAATCTGGGGTATAGGGGCGCAGGAGATTCAGGATCAAGAAGATGAGTTTCATTTCGGGTTAGATCGTTTGTAAGATGCTGTGTATTTGTTTCACCAATGCTGATTGTGTGCTTGTAAGATGCTGGGTTTATTTTTGTATGATGCTGGGTTTCTTTTTGCTTGTCAAATCTTGCATTTTGCTTCTACATGCTTGTACAGATGCTGGGAACGGTACTTGCTGTTGTAAAGGACTCTCCTCTACTTTGCAGGAACTGGGAGTTGTTCTAAACGATAGAGCTCTGTCTTAGCTTTCCAACGAGCCGTCACACACGTCGATCGCCTAAGTATCCGCCGAGATATAGGCGTTCACGTGTTGGGTGGTGCTCTTGAATGCAAGTATAGAAGCTCTCTGGAATTTGTGTTCGAATGTACCTTGTACAAAGAACTCTGAATTTCACTATGTGAT